TAAGATATTTATTTAAATATACGGTTAGAATACTTATTTATTTACAAAAATATATTTTTCTCCTAAAAAAATTTATGACAATAAAATTTTTGTTTTTGATTGTTTTTTTTCTTTTTAAAATGGATAATGGAAATAAGTAGGTAACAAAATTTTCTTTTCATTGTAGAAAATAATTTTTTATGGTATAATTTCAAAACATTATTTATTTTTATTTATTGTTGCTAGCATTAAAATTTTGAACGTTTAAATGGAACAAAATTCATTTATATTTCTTCACCAAATTCAAATTTTATTGAAATAATATTGCTTCAAGTACTACAAAATAATTCCTAAAGTTTCAAAGTGTTTAATTTACATTTTTAATTTTTATTACAGCCAGTAATTTTTGAAAATATTTAGTTGCTTTGAACGTTCGAAACTTTTGATATTTATGCAAAAAATTAAATGTTTGCTCAGAATTTTATTAAAATATTTTTTAAATAATTAAAATTTGGAAAAATTATATTAAAATTGTAGATATTAAAAATCATTGAATTGAGGAAAATTTCTGAAAATAATTGAAATTTTGCCAAGAATTTTATTACAATTTTTGAAAATAATTGAATTTTGGAGAAGAATTTTATTATTTATAAAAATAATTGAAATTTTGACACTGATTCAAATAGTAATATTTTACTAATGAAATAGTTAATAATAAATAATTATTAGTTAAATTCACTTTTAGGTTACAGGTAAAAATAACTTCAATTTTTGGTAACTAATTCAATTCGTAAAATTTGTCTATTATTTTGTAGTTATTTATTTATTTCGTTATTTTTGACTAATTCAGATTTGGAGAGCAAATCATTTTTATTTTAATTAAATAAATTTTAATTGAATTAATAATTTCAGTATTTAAAGTGAAAACAATTTAATTCGCTTAAACAAAAATTATTTAATACAGTAAATAAATATTTATTTTGCTAATAGTCAAGCGTAAATTATTTTCTTGAATCAAATACATTTTTTTCAGAGTAAAATTCATAATTATAAAGTTTATCCTACGAGATTTATACACTATTTAAATAAATATAAAATAAAATTTACAATTTCTTGTGTAATGAAAAAATTGAATTGAGAGGTAAAAAAATTAAAAACTTGTAATTTTTGCATAATCGAAAACAAAGGATACATAATAAAGTAAATAGTTTAAATGATTGTTTATATTTTACATTTTATAATTTGGTTATTTTATCTCATAATTTAAATTTAGTTTATTGAAACATTTTACGTTTTCTATTTCTCGGGAGTATGAGTAGTGTATTTATGTTTTATACTGCAGGACACTCAGTTTATAAGTGTTCATTTCTTTTTGCTGAATTGCGTAATTGCATACACCATTTGCCATTGGGTTATCTCACATTGAACCAAATTAAAAATTATAATAATAGAGGTTCTTTAATAATTTCCGCATATGTTTACACTTTCGAGAAATCTTTCTAAAATTTATATTTCAATCAAAACAATTGGATTATGCAAAATGTTTAAATAATTTTGGAAGTATTTTTTTATAGTGTAATAAAATGTTAAGTACTGAATATTAAAAATTTGTATAGTAATTTTTACTGTTAAATTAAATATTTTATTATTAAATATTGAAATATAATAATACACTAAAAAAAAGTTCTAGTTGTTATGTAATAAATTAAAAAATTGTAAATAATAATAATAAAACATTTTGTTAATTATCTAGGTAATGAATTATCTAAGTACTTATTAAAATTTTTTATAATTAAATAGTGAATATTAAATATTTAGGAATGAAATATTTATACACTATAATGTTTAATAAAAAATTGCAAAAGTAAAATATTAGAAGCAGAAACATGTTTCTGTTTCTAATATTTTACTTTTGCAATTTTTCATTAAACCCTACACTTGAGAAATAAAAGTAAAAAATAAAAAAAAAATAAAAATGATTTTAATACCTATATTTTACATCGACCTAAAAGTAAACAGAATATGCGCTCATGATATGGTAACAAGTTCCAAGAAGATTTTCCAAATTTGCCAGTGTAGCACTTTCTTTTTTTCTTTTTTGCCGCTAATTGTTAACACACTGGCAATAAATCTAAATTGATTGATAGGCTAAGTGTGAGCGATCGAACGAAATTCAGTCTCGAATTAAATGCTGTGTTGGAAGAATTTCCTAAATACTCGCGTGAGAATTACGAAAGAGACACATTGCGGAATTATACTTAAAAGAAGTACATAGTAGACACCGTAGACACTATACACGTATAGAGAGAGATGTCTTTAAACTTTCTTTGCGGAATTATGAAAAGTGAAAATAATATCTATAAATGAAAACAAACAGTTTGTATAATAATCTTGATATATTTACAACGGTGCTTGCATTTATTTACGTTGTTTGTATAGTATGAAATGCATACGGATTGCTATAATAGAATGTGCAATGACGTAAATAAAATATCCTTTTGGAGTGCCGAAGAAGTTTTTCTAATTTTTGAAATCAAGTTTTTAATTTTTAATTTCTGAAATTATTGTTTGGACTTTAAATTTGAGTTATAAATTTCTCGAAAATTTGTTCTTTAATTTTGAAATTTTGTTTTTTAATAAATTGTTATATTGTATTATTAGGGTTTCAAATACAAAATTATACCGCAGGGAACCCAAAATTATTCTCACTTTTTGACATAATAATTTCTTGTTCTATAAAAAAGACTATTTGACCGATTGAATTAATTAATAAATAATAATTTATCAAATTTAGTAGAGACATGTATTTTTCTACGTAAATTTGAGTATCATGGCGTTTTTAAAGACTTTCATCAAAAAGTTAAGTTTCCGTTCTCCCCAAATTCAGATTTTTAAATTAATTTTTCTGAAACTTTGTAGGAAACTTCAGCTTCATATAGGAAGGTACTTGAAAAATGAATTATTTTTAAAAAAGGGGTTACGAGGAGTTTTAAATTTTACAATTTCTTATCTAATCAGATAAAAATTAAGTTTTGGGCGGAAAATAAAAAATATGTAGGGCGGCTACGTGACAGTATAATCAGAGAAATGACAGGAAAAAAATTTTTTTGTCAGAGTAAATCCCGTAAAAGTCTGTAACTATACTTGAAGTCCGTAAAAGTAAAAGACAAGACGAAAAGTTCGTAAATTGTAGGATATAATTTGGAGAATTTTAGAGAAATTACAAACGATTGTAAAAAGTCAATTATTTTCAAAAGCTATAAAATTCTTCTTAGAAATTCAATTATGTTAACAAATTTTAAAAATTCTCGTCAAAATTTCAATTCTTAAAAATTTTTTTAAATTCGTCGAAAGAATTCAATTATTTAAAAATTCGTTGATAAAATTCTTTATGGGAATTGAATTTTAAGAAACATTCAGTTATTCAATACATTATTTATTTTTGTATTTAAATAATTGAATTCTAGTAGAATTTACTAATAAAAATTGATTTACAAATGAATTTCAGTTAAAACTTTAGATAATAATTGAATATTAAAAGCAATGTAGCGTGAATTTTTTTAGAAATAATTGAATTTTTAAATTAATTTTTTTGAAAAAGTTTAATTGAATTATGTTATTTTAAGTTTTCATTTGAAGAATAAAAGAATTGAAGAATTAACGAATAATTGAAATTTCGTAAAATTGAATATTGTAAACAAATGGATTTGAAAATTGTCAAAGATTAACTTTTTCGAAAATTATTATTATTATAATTTCGTATTTTAAAGGGAAAGGAAAATTAAATTTAAAATTTATTTTATTAGAAGTGCAAAGAATTCAATTTTCAACATTTTGAACAATTTAAAGTTGCATTTGAATAAAAATGACTTTTTTTGGTCAGTAAGAAATAATTGTTAAATTTTAGGTTATTTTACCTAAATATAGTTTTTTATTGACCGAAAATCGTAATTTTTATTCAAATTCAACTTTTAATTGTTTAAAATTAAATTATTTAGGCTTCCAATAAATCAAATTTAAATGTACCTTTTTTATACAAAAAATGTACGAAATTATGATATTGAACTAATTTTTGTTTTGACTGTCTATCAGATACTTCCTTGAGATCAAAGTAGAATAGACTCTGGATATTATATCCTCAGCTTCTAATTATTATGCATTTCTTAAATACATTTTTTAAGAATTTTTATTAATTTTTCAAATTTTCATTACTTTCTGTAAAAAAATTTTATCTTGGAAAATTATTTTAATATCAGTAAAATACGTCAGTTAGAAAATAAGTATTCTGTTGTAGTTTTGCTACTAAATTTTAAGAAAAATACAATAAGACAAAATGAATTTATCTAAATATTTTTTTCAAAACATAAAATTTCGAAAACATGTAGTCCAACCTTTAAATTTTTAACTTGCACCTAATTTTTTAACGTTTAACTGTTTTTAATTTATTAAATCAAATTTTGGATTTTAAAAAATCCTATTGTATACTTTAATTCTTTGATTTACTTATGAATTTTAGATTTTAAGTTTTGTACTCAATTTTTGAATTTGTAAATTTGAAAAAAAACTAAATCATTTTTAAAACATTTTGAAAAAATAATCCTTCGAAGGATTTTTTTAATCCTCGATGGATCAAAACGTTGCAGATTATTTTAATCCATTTTGATGTTAAAAAATACCCCCCACAATTTTCTGTGTTAAAAACTTAAATTTATCATTCAGAAATTTTCTGTTTTATTTTTTTATTACTTGACGTAAAATTACTTATAAAGTTTTAATTTGAAAAAGAAATAATTTCTTAGGTGCAAATAAAATTAGGAACAGTCATAAAATTATTGTCTGAACCTTTAATAGTTTAACGTGTCCACTCGACAATAGAACAATGACCCAAGTTATGTCAGAATGATGATGATATTAATAATAATAACTGATGATATTATTCATCCTTATATCTTTCCCTCGCACATTCTCGAATACACACAATTTACATAATTACATAATATATCGATCTATTTTTTTTGCAGGGGATCAGAATTCACAACAGAAAAAAGAATCTCTTCTAGACGAAGAGGAGGATTTGGATGTTAAAATTGATACTATGGGACAATCGCCAACTCCTGTTAAAAATTCCGAGGAACATTCGCAAAGTATCAATGGAAATGTTGACCTTAATAATTCATCGGACAGTGAGAAAAAAGAAAGGTAAATAATTTTTACATAAATATAATTCATCTCACATCATCTTTTTTTTTCTTTTAAATAATGTAAGTTGCTCATTTATGTTAATTATGAACCAGTCTTGAAAACCTGTCTAATTATTTATTAAAATTAGTCGCATCAAAATTTTTCTTCAAATCGATATTTTATTCAAAAATATATATAATAAAGAAAGTGGAGGTAATTTATTGACATGAAAATATAATGGGAAGTATCAAAATAAATATATAGACAAGATTGCTTAAATATTATTGAAATTCGTTTTTAATATGCAAAAGATTATAATTAAAAACTTAATTTCAATTTTTCAATTACAAAACTGAACATTTTTTTCTGGATGTAAGTGATTATGCTTAAGAAGAGATATTTTCTAATTATTTAATTTTCAATATTTATGTATTTATTATTTTAATGTATAACTGAATTTTCTTCGCGACTTTTAAAATCATTTTTTACAAAATGGTATTTTTTCTGTTTATTTTAAAAGTATTTCCATATAAGTAATTTAAATAATGTTTATGAAACAAGGTTTCTTTTTAATTTATGCAGAAAATTATTGTAACAGGGATCACAGATTGTCACCTTTTGTTCTTTTTGGTTTTGTAAATTTTTCAAATACTTTTAATCGAGAGTTCAGTTTCCAAGAATTTCTAATTAATTTATATTTTAATAAATTTTAATTTTAATTTGTTAAAGCTTTCAACGATTGAATTTTTAGTTGACTCGGAATTTAATTATTTGGGCAAAAATTTTAAATCTTTAGAATTCCAATTCATTCACCGAAAAAAAATGTTTTCAATTTTAGTGGGTTCCTCTAGTTTTGCAGCATTGTTTCCTCTTTCTATGTGCATTAAAGTTTTCCTTTATAATTAAGAGAATTTTCTTCTTTCATATTTGTTATTAAATGTTCCATTTTTAAACAGTTTGAAACTGCATTCAGAAAAACAATTAAACAAAAGACTTAAAATATCTTTTTTCAACTTTAAATTTGTTTCATTTATAGAGGAATAATTTAGATCAAAGAGAGATTAAAAGTAGTCTTTTAGTTAAAATAATTTGAAATAAAGAAAAAAATAAATCTTTTTTGTAGATGAATATTCGTATATTGAAAATAAAATATAAAAGTAATTTTTGAGCGGAATTTTCTTCTCATTTTGAGATTTCATTTTTTTCGGTGTTTTATTTTCAATTGAACTCAAATTCGATTGATCTAAATTACAAACAATAATATAAATTTTAAATTCTAATTTTAATCAATCTCAAATTCAATCATTTCAAACTAAAATATTTATGTATTTTTTAATTTATTTATATTTTAAAAAGAATTCAACAAAATCTATGATAAACTATTTTTTTGTTTTCTTAAACTGATATTTATGAATTACATTTTGTACTTCACAATTTATAATTCATAAAAATCACATATTTAGAAAAAGTTTCAAAAATGGACTCATCAGTTTTTGTAAAATTTCTATGTTCCAAAAATTCTTAATATTTAGATAAATGAAATTTTTTTTCGATATAAAATTTTCAAAAATTATTAAATTTTATAAAAATTAAAAATCTAAATTAAATTTTTTCAGATCCCTGAAGTTGGCGTCGACGCTGAGCATCGAAAAATATTTTTTTCACAAAACCGAAAGAAATGACTGAATTTTTTCCAAGGTTAAAATTTAAAAAGTACTCTTTCTTAAGTGAATGAAAGAAGTTAAATTAGTTGAAATTTTATCACTAAAAGTAAGAAAAAATAGTTTTTGATACTGAGCGTCGACGCCAACTTCAGGAACGTATATTTTCAATAATTTTTTATTTAATTTGAAAATTTTCTTATTTTTTTAAAAACTAAATCCATTTTTAAAAAATTAAAATCACTTTTTTTTACCCTGTGATCCCTGTTGTAATTATACAAAAATTATCCCCAAGATTTAAAAACTATTATTGCTATGATGAATTGTTATTAAATTTTCAAAAAATTTCAGTTTGAAAACACTTTATACTATGTAAAAAAATACAGTAGTAATTCTTGTGTAAAACACAAAAGAAAAATTAAAACTACCCGAATTTTTAAGTCTGGTAGCTGTTTAGATGAATTATTAGAAAGAAGGCTCGAACTTTCGACACCTTATAGATAATGACTTGCACCAGGAAGTATTGTCTGTGTGTGCATTCATAACTATAGATATATATATATTTTACACGAGAACGTTTATTGACCTCTTGCATATAAATAACAATATCATATTAAAATTCTGTTACTTTTCTCTACAATTTTTGCTTATAAACTTCTTTTTTTCAAATAATTACGTTTGAATTCATTATTAAATTAATTTATTATTATTGCTAATTAATAATTGTGTAAAACATGTTTTAATCTAATCCTATGAGAACTGTAATTTCCCCTTTTTTTTAATCTGTTTGTGGTGCGCGTAATAAAATTGCGTAAGGGAACAATATTTTTCTCACAGGATATGATTGTATATATATATAAATACATGCGTGCGTATTCGAGAAGATGATTCGTTTATGGGCGCGACATTCGATATCGCGATACTGCCAGGTCGACCACCGCTCAGTTCTAAGATTTCTTGAACGTTAAAAAGATCTTTTTTATAATATTCTCATTAAAAAAGAGAGAGAGAGAGAGAGTAAAAAACTGTTTCAATATATTTCTTCATTAAAATTATTTATTCAATTCTATATTAGTGCGAGAGATCATATTGAGTAAAATTTGTTCCTTCTTTTCTTTTTAATTGAAATCGCTTTTTTTAATGTGATTATATAATTTGAAATTACTTAAAATATTTAAAAAATTTACCACATGTCAATAAAGTCAGTGAAGACAGGGAAATGTCAGGAGAAAAAATTTTTTGTCAGGAAAATTTAGAAAATTGAGATTTTTTCGACTTATTTTCAAAAATAATTGCGACTTTTTTGACTTTTTTCCAAATATTGCACCAAATATCATATTTTTTATATTAAATGTAACTCATTTCGATTTTTATAGTGCGAAAAATAACTATAAACAAATCTTTCAAAAATTATTTTTGAATCATTTTTCTATTTAAATTTTCGAAATACACAATTAAAAAGATTTTGAATAATTGAAATTTTGTTAGAATTTTTAGAATCAAGTTTTGAAGAATTGTAATTGCAAATTTCCAAAATTATTTTTTCAAATTATTAAAAAATTGAATTTTTGTATTTAAATAATTTAATTCTCGGAGAACTTTTGGAAAATTATTTAAAATAATTGATGTAGAGATGAAGTTTAGTTGTAAATTGTATAAAATAATTGAATTCAGGAAGAGTTATAATTGTAATTTTTAGAAATTATTAAATTTCATAAATTTTACTCATTTTCCGTAAATTTTCATATTTTTCTGTGATAGGAATTTTGTCAGTGAAAATAATTTTAATGGCAGTAAATTGTCAGGGAAATTGATAAACTGAAATTTGGGATCACCCTGATAATTAAATTAATTGAAATTATTATATATTATTTTTTTTGTATTTATATTTTGGATGTAATTTCTAATACTAATAATTGATTCTCTTTCTGTATTTTTTACTCCAAAAATTATAAACATAAATCTTTTTGCTATACTTAGGCGTGCGTCACATATTCAATTTAATTTTAGTAAATTAGATAATATTACCAATTAAATATTAAAACTGTATCAATTTTGTGTCATAATAACTTATAATCTTTAGGGTATTTTAACTAGGATTCGTTAAATTTTATTATTCGTTTAGTTCTCAACATAAAAGTTTTTTTGTATAACATTCTCAGGCACTTAGAAGCTGTAATATTACCGCATTTTCTATTGTCAATTAAATTTTTTTCTGTACTTTTTTTATCTTTCCTTATTAAAATTAAAATTTACTGATGGAGTTTAACAGTTTTACTCCTTGGTTTTTTTCTATTTTAATTGTAATTTATAAAAGGAAGGTTCTTTCTTTTGGGAAAAAAGAAGAGTAAAGAGAAAATATCTATTTCATAACATTTTGTTAGACTTATATATATATATATATAATAAATATAGGAAAGTTTCGTAAGATTAGGAAAAGATTTAGGTATTTTAAAAAGCGCTTTCTTTCAATAAGAAAAAATTTAATTTCTAATTACCTACATATGAAATTTTTCGTTTTTACTCGAAAGCGGCATCTCTTCATTGCTTGCTTTGAAATGACTTCTCTTCTGTAAATATATATATCGAGAGAGTTGTGTGACTCAACTGATTTAAAGTAGGATAAAATCATTTTTTTTCTCTATTCCATGCCTCGAACATCGCAGGTGTGCTACTGTGCAATCAAGTAGTTTTACTAGAGGGATACATTTAATATTGTCGATTTATAAATAAATTATTTTACATTAACTATAGCAAAATTATCGACGTGGGAATGTATTTCACAGATGTTTCTAGAAACTTGGAGCCGCATTTTAATTCGTATGTAATTTTTAAAGAAATAATTATTGTGACAAAAACAAATTAAGTAGAATTGAATTTCAATGTATATATTATTTTAATCTTTCAAGTATTAAAAAAAAAGAATTTTTAACAGATTTCGAGGTTAATTATACAGGGCTCGAACTAAGTCCGTAAATTCCTTAAAGGTCCGTAAATTTGCTTCAAGTCTGTCAAAGTCAGCTTTTTTGAAAAAAGGTCTGTAAAGTCCATAATTTGATTGAAAAAGGACGAAAATTTCGTAAATTGTACGATACAATTTGGGGAATTTTAGATAAATTACAATGATTGCAGAAATTCAATTATTTTCAAAAGTAATAAAATTTTTCGCTGAAATTCAATTATGTTCAAAAATTTTAATACAATTCTTGGCAAAATTTCAATGATATCAATTATTATCAAAATTTTTCCTCAATTCAACGATTTCCAATATCTACTATTTTAATAAAATTTTCGACAAGAATTCAAATATTTAAAAAAATTTTAATAAAATTCTATTTAAACATTTAATTATTTTCA